CAAGAGGGCATAGCATAGCCCAATCACAACCAGTACAAGTCAAGATGCAGATGTCCGTGGGAGAAAAAGACCGTTTGAAATGAGCGTGTTATGCTTTCCATGCCGGTGCCTCGGTCGCGGGCGCATCGGCGGTGGGGCGCGGGTGGGGCGCTCTCGTGTCCGGCTCGTGCACCGCACGACGGTCGATCCAGCTGCCCAGATCGAGGCTCCTCCATCCGAGTGCGTTGCGCACGTTGGTGCGCGTGCGCGCAGCGGCAAATGGGTTCGGATCCTTGTACCGGGGCCTGGCGATCTTGATCTTGACGAGCCAGGCGCGCAGCCCGCCGCGGCGTGGGCGGTCCGCCGCGCCGTACGTTGACGTAGCGTCGTCGTCGCCGGCAGGGTCGAGTTCGAGCTGCTTGTGTTCGCCGTAGTCGCGTGCGGTGTTGATGCGGATCTGCTCGACGGTCGAGCGGTTGCGCAGCACGAGGCGCACGTGGTAGCTCAACAGCACCACCAGCGGTGCCGCCGCCGCAAGGCTCAGCACGAACAGCACCGCCGACACGGGCGACTCCTCCAACGCCTGCTTAAACGAGTATCCCTCGGCAGCCCCTCCGCGCGGATACCGATACGTGGTCGGCTTGGTCATCAACACCAACCTCGCCGCCGTAAACGCCACGACGTAGAGCGCGGCGACAATCGAGGCGGACAGGAACACGAGGAAGGGCACATAGTTGCGTCGGCCGATGCACGTGTTGAGGTAGGTGCAGTGGTGGTCGATGTTCTCGACGCAGTTGTCGCAGACGCGGCAGTGGCTGCTGCGGGGCGGCCGATACGTGCCGCACGTCTCGCACCACTTGACCTGCACCGTCTGGTCGCGGATGCGCAGCACGCGCTGCACGGGCACCGCCAACGGATCCTCCGGGTCCGCCAACGCCTGCCGCCCCGGCTCGTACGACGTATCGCCCAGCACGCACGGCGGGTCCGCATCCAGCCCGCGCGGTATCACCCCCGGATCCTTCCACGCCGTCACACCCATGTTGACAACCGCCAGCAGCCACACGTACGCAAACACCGCCACCACCGCCGGGCTCAGATTGTCCGACAGCCACTTGGCTTCGAAGCCGAAGAACAGCCCGCCCAGCACCAGCAGCAGCAGGTACGACGCGATGAACGGCAGCGGGTTGTCGCTCGACGTCATCAGTAGACCGCCCAGCAGGAACCGGTTGCCGCCCTTGTGCTGGCGATAGTTACGCACGCCTCGCTTGGCGCCTTTGACCTGGGCACCCACCGCATCGGGCTCTGCCTTTCCGCTTCCATTTGGCACTGCCGCCGCAGTAGCAGCCGTCTTGGCGGCATCAGCGCCGCCGTTGCGCAGACTCGCGCGCTGATCGGGCATGTCCCGCGCGTCGGCTCGCGCCGCCTGGCTGGCAGCCGCCGCCTCCAAAGTGCCCAGGCCCAGCCCAGATGCGGTGGTCGCCTCCGGGATCGCGCGTGCGGGCAGCAGCGGGTCGGTGCTGGCCATCATGCGCACGACCGAGTGCGGCGACGCCTGCCCCGCCGCATGCCCAAACGCATCTTGTGTGCCGAGCGGGGTGACGGGTGCGGTTGCGGGGTTGAGCGCATCGTTTCGGTCGGTCACAACCGAGCCTATCGCCGGTGCGTGCCGCACCGAGGAGCTGGCGGAATGCACGGAGGCGGCGACGCCCCAGGGGCTCGGCGAGCGGGCGTGCTGGTGGTAGCCCGTCGGCGAGGTGGTGCGGTATTCGAGCACCTCCTGTGCTGCCTGACTGTCGACGCTGTCGGCATTCGCACTGTGCAAGGGCGCCGCGGAGGGTGCAGGCGTGGTGGATCGGAACGAGAGCGGGGTGGTGCTGCGCGCTATGTTGGTAGCTGTCGACTCGAGCAAGTTGCCGGTCGAGTTGCGTGCGGAGGGCTTTTTGGGCGCAAAGAATGCCGCCGGCGGCAGGATGGAGCCTCGGTCTCTGCCGTCGCGCTTGATGAACGAGCCGCCGTCCTGGTCGTAGCGGCGAAGGGCGAGCGAGCTTCCGGAGCGCGACGCGGGGCGTGGCGCGGGCGCATCATCGTCTTCGTCCTCGGTGCGAAAGCCGTGCGGAGTGGAAGCGCGGCTGATGTTGCGTGCGAGTTGGTCGATCTCGACCGAGTGGCGGCGGTTGGAGAGGGACGAGCGGCTGGCTGCGGCGGCTGCTGCGTCGCGGAGACGGTTGTGCGGCTCGTCGTGGCCTGCTCCGCTGATGCTGCTCCTCCTCGACAGCGAAGACAAGGGCCTGGACATCTCTACGGAGGTTCGTTTGGAGGAGCGCCTGCGCGCGAGACCCGGCGCGCCGAACGACGGCGAGGCAGGGATATCTACGGTGGTCTCGAGCTCGTCTTCGCTCGCAGCGAGGGAGCGGCGGTTTGCGTGCATGGCGTCTGCGGCGCGGAAGCTGGCAGCTGAGCGTGGCCGAGTGGGCTCGAAGGGAG